TATATATATTTCCCCTAATTTACTTTAGTTCATTTTGTAGGAAAGTAAGTACTTTTCAATAGCTTTCAATAAAATGAGTATTAGTTCTTTTTCTCCTGTGCAGGGGCATATATAAACTCTCAGGAAGGTTTCTGAACTGTATTTACAAAAAAATACTTCTCCAAGTCACACATGACACTTTTGAGGAAAGGAGATGCAAAATTAAAGGCAGGGCCAATCTGTCTGCCTTGAGCTATTCCTAAACATAGCAGCTAACCGTGAGTCTGAAAGCTAGCTTTCCAGCGACTTAGACATTAATCCAGGAGGTAGCAGATACATCATTAGATTGTGGGCACACTAAAAATTTATTAGGGTTATATTTTTTGCGAGGGAAAATCACTCTGACATCATGTTGATGGTAATAAAATCGAATTAGCTGAGAACTCCATCTTAGCTGGCTTTTTCTCTCAATCTTGACCATTAGGAAGTATAGCTATTTTGCCCCACCCCCAATTAAATACTCTTCATTTCCCCAAAAGTCCTTTATCCCTTATAGCAGAAGCAGGTGATAAGGAGTTGTGAATATACATCTTTGTGTTGTGACATTTACTGCTCACGACCCCCTGCCATCTTTGGTCTTCAGGACTTACTGGGGCTTCCCAATGGCTTCACATGTTAACTCAAGCGAGTCCCCTTCACGGGTTAGGCCTTGCAGAGGATAAGTCATCTGAATATGCACTTGAGGCTTATCTGTGTGACAACAACACAAAGCATAATATTTAGTAAATGATAGCATCAGACAAGAAACCACACTTGCATGTTGCCATAAGCCCCACACCATGAGCACCGACTCTCCCCATCCTCATGCCTTCAGTAACATCCTTCTAATTAGTTAGTAATCCTGGCATTTGCTCAAATTAAATTGACTAATAACTCTTAAGGAGTGAACCACAAATAGATAAGAGATTCATAAGCCAACTGTGCCACATCAAACATTTCCTGTGAAATACATTTTGTTACATTGAAGTTTATCTCCAAACTCACTCAAGCTAAAGGAAACTCATTTGCCTTCATGCTGAGGTGAAGCCAGATATTTGTGGTGCTCAGAATTGATACATTTTATAATATATCATATATTACTATGTGACAATATGTTGTGACACTGCATATTAATGAGTCTGCCTCTTCTGTTTCTTGTTTTCAAAGGGAAAAGGCTGAAGTTCTGAATGAACTATACTCAAATAGCTTCACAAAGAAAAGAACTGGAAGGCTGGGGTGGCTCCCAGTGAAGCTGGAATACCTCAGCCTAAGTAGAAAGGAGGAAAGGAAACTGACATTCACCCAGAGCCTATTTTTACACAAGATGTGAACTCTGGTACCCACAGGATGAAATGACTAGCTCAAGGTCATCCAGAGACACAGAAATGTACTAATGAGAGACAGCACCATGGACAGTATACTGGGATGGATTTCCGATGCAAAACTGATGCATTTTCCAATGCCATAATTAAAGTCAAGTATACAGATAGATTCTTAATGTAAAAAATAACTTAAGAAAGTGATGTAAGTATCTGTATGGCCACAAGCTATTTGAAAATGGGCTTGTGAGTGTTTGGCAGAAATGAGAAGCAGTGGGAGGTGGGGGAAACAGGAGAGAAGCTGAGGAAGTTGGAATCAACATGGACAGACATACAAATACACATACAAATAAAATGTGACTGCGATTAGGGTTTTTTTTCCTCTATGCTGAACCAACATGCCACTAATTCCTAAATCAATTTTCTCTTTTAATTCTGTGGCTCTGTAAGTGTATATTTTTGTAAATGTACCCAAGAGTAATAAGTGTGAGAGGGCAGGACATCTGTTGGCTGGAAGGTCAAAACAATTACCATAGTTGTACTTTCTCAGACAGTCACACCACCTAAACCACAGCCCCTTGGCCTTTCACAAGCCGTGGTTAGCTCATTAACATTCATCCTATGGAACAAGGGGGAAGACAGAAATATGGCCGGGCTGTGACAACCTCACCCTGTTCGTAGTTATAAACGCTGAGCAAGGAAGTCCTCCTCTCTAGAGATGGCTGCTTGCAGATGCATTTTTATAGTCTTGGTCCTAGCACAGATCCTCCTCTCAGGTTTCTAAAAAGAGTATGCTATTCAAGACTTTTTAAAAGAGTCCCCTTGTACATCCAGCAGTGTATGCTAGTACTTTCTGAGAAGCTCTGCCAGTTGCCTGAGAACATCAAGTTAATGAGCCCAAAAGCTCCAGCCAACCCTTGCAACACAGGTAGCCCAGTTCTCTTCTTGGACTTATTGGCAAAAATGTTTAGGGACAAAATGGCAAAAGGTTTCCAGATACCAATAACTAGATTGGGACAGTAGTCATTAAAGAAAGGTAGAAATACTCATAAAACATAAACACGATGATCTTGAATTAGCACTGAATGCAGAGCTGAATGATGATCTCTTGGGTACCTCTTTTTAGAACTATAGACCATATCTTCGGCTACATAGAACCGCAGAGTGACATATGTGTGTCCAGTTTTGGTTGTGTAAGCCCCTCTCCCAACCACAGTTAGCTGATGAAATCTATTTTTAAAAAGATACACCAAAATCAATGGGAGAAGGTTATGACACTGAACACACAGATAACAAAAAGCCTGCCACCTAAGAGTTCACACTTAGATACAAAACAGCACTAGGGACTTACTGGTAAGGAGACCTCTGTCACTTTGACTTGTGAATCATTCTCACCAAGGGTAAATTTAGGGCTCAGCATTTGAGCTAAAATGTAACATTTGCTTATAGGTTAGCCTGTGATCCACAAAAAGGCTATATTTTTCACGCACTGCTGACTTAGGCTGATTAGTTAAGGAGAAGCAGAATGCTTGCTGGCCTATGTGGAAAGTTTCCATCAGGTTTACTTTTTTCCTTTGGTGTAATTTACAAGCAAAGAGAAAGGGTATATTTCTCAGTACGGTGCACTAAGTTTATATGGTCAACTTCCATTAATAATAAGGAAAGCACTGAAAAATCTAACCCATCCTACCTCTTCAGTACCACTGAGTTTGTTTTAGTTAAATACTTTTTTTATGTTCCTAATGAGCTGTTTACCAGTTGTCAATTACACATATAAATTAGGAAGAACAAGCTAAGGACTTGCTATACCTGGAATTTATATAAAAAACAATTGCATGTTAGCTAAACCACAGAAAATACAGAGTCAGCTTTGAAACTGAATTTTCTGATTTACTTTTTAGGTTTCTGGAGAAGTACTTATAGATGTAGCTGCCACGGTGACCTCAATAGCTGAAAAAGCAAGCATGAATGGCACTTATAATATGACACAGAAGCATGTCCCTCTTCGGCATGCACAGTATTGCTGGGTGCATCATATAGCTGTGGGCACCTGAACATTCTTCAGATCCTCAGAATCAAACAGAAGTCAGTGCCAAGATTTGTCCCTGGGTGGTGGAAACTGAAAAATAAATCCTGCTCCCCTTTCTTTGTCCTGAAAGAGGACCGTTAGTACTCTTCACAGGTGGTATAGAAGCCCGGGGATTCCAAGGAGACCTTTAGAACTCAGATATGTTAATATTTGTTGTTTATTTTGTTTTTGAGACAAGGTCTCACTCACTATTCAGCACAGGCTGGCCTCAAACCCATGGTGATCCTCCTGCCTCAGCCCCCTGAGTGCTTGGGATTATAGGCGTGTACCACCATGCCCAACAGGTACGTTAAATTTAGCAAGGAAGAAGATCCTGTCTATGCTGAGTATATCAAAATATCGAACCCAGACGGCTGATTGAACAGCTCAGAGCTCAACACTTACATTTTAATTATGTTCATAAATCAAATGCTATAACCCACCAAATCTTTTCTGAAACAGAACCAGACTCCAAGATTTATTTTTAAGTAATGAGGTGAAGCCCAGTCTATTTCTGCAGGATCACTTTACACCTTGGTTGGTGTTGCAAGGCACAAGGCTAAAAGCCAGATGATACTTTCTACCAAAGTGCAATAACTGTCCAGAAATCTATCACTCAGAATAGCTTAATGTCATTATAAAATGGAACTGCTATATAAAACTAAGAAAAATAGTTAGGTCTGTGCACTTAAGGAACATTATAGTTACAGAGACAGCATCGCCAACAGCCAATCAATTAGGGCGAGGGTTCTGAAGTTTTCATAATACACTGCAATTTTTAAAAACCCTATAAAAGACACTTCCCAAGACTGCTATGGCAGAGAAAATTTGTTCATTAGTCGAAGTTGCACAGAGGGTTAAATACCAGGAGGCTTTAGGTCACACTACAGCAGCAACCAATTAAAAAAATAATATTACAAGACATTCTGATTTAATGAGACTTTCTTTAAATGTACTTTACTCTCTCTATAAAGAGGAAAATATAAAAGGAAACTCTTAAAGAGGTTACAATGGCTTGCTGGCAGAGTACAATTGATTTCGTGCCAGTCTGACCTTGTACTGTAAGCTGTGATCTTCTCAGCAGAGAAAACTCAAAATTCTGTAACCTGTACTTCAATTTCCTATGTAAATGAAAAAGCACCATCTCCTCTCAAGAGTCCAACACTGATAGAGAAAGGCTTTGAAGATTGTAACTTTTTTAAAATTTTATTTTATTGGCACATTTTATTTATTTATTTTATTGAGAAACAAATAGCAATGAGACAGTTTCAAAACAGGTCAGTAGGACAGTTACAATAATTAATACATTGCATGTTGTTGTCTTCATAGTGGCTATTCATAGTACAAGATGCAGACATGATATCTTATCCAAACACTATTAGTACAAATCTTTCTTCTCATTAAGAGAAAGTAGCTGTCTATCTATCCTAACTATTTTGTATATACCAATACAAAATGGTCCTTCATTTATATCCCCCTTTTTTTGTTTACTTTTGTCAGAGATGGGTATCCCATTGCTATTTAAATATCATAGGAGCCTGAATTCAACAAAATAATCCAATATAGTCCAGTAGTCCATAATAGTAGTGGGTTATTTGTAGGACTGGCAATGTCAGAAGTTGTTGGCTTGAGCCTTTTACAGCTCAGCATATTAATATGGCTTTACTTTTTATACCTCATTTTTATACTTTTCTGCTGGATGGTTAAGACCAAGCTAAAGCAAGATCTACATAACAAAAAATGTAACTTCTGTATCTGACAAGGTCAGTCAAATCCCCTCAGGATTTACCCTGAAACCCTCTACCACAGTTTGTAGGTCCTTTGTCATGGCACACTTTAGATCTACATAATGACAACATATACCACAGGGAATTTGTATCCGATGCGATATATTTTGGTTCTTCTTTATTTCCCACTCTGCTCCTCTCCATTCTACCTGCTTCCACTTCTTATTTAAAAAAGCTTTGTTTCCATTTTTCCTATTCTTTTTTGTCCTTTCTGTCCTTCCTCCTCCCCTTTCCCTTGTTCTCCCTCTCATTAGAACATTTTTTCCCACATCTATTATACATTTTGTTCCTTATTTGCACTTCTAGTTTCTCACATCAGAGAAATATATATTTACACATGCGTGTCCAGCTAATCAGTATGCTCTCAGAGTACATCCATTCAACTAGAAACGTCTGAAGCTTATCCTTCTTTATGGCAGAGTGGGACTCCATTGAACACCAGAATCACATCTTCTTGATCCATTTATTGGCAGATTTGCATTTAGGGTGTTTCCAATATTCGGCTATTACAAACTGCAACTGTAAACATGTGTGTGC